CCAACCCTCTAATTGATACAATATAAAAAAAGAAAAAATAAAAAGTAATTTCGAATAGGAAAATCATAAGACAAATAATTTTATATTTTCATTTTCTTAAATGTTGAATGAGAAAAAAAGTAATTTTCTTATACTTTGAATGAAAAAAAAAGAAGAATTTGATACCGAAATGGTTGGTTTAAAGGCATGTGGTCTCCCTGATAACTTGTAACTTTTCCAATGGTTATAAACAATATATAAGGGCTTTAATTTCGACAAGGAAAACATTATTTCACTATGAAGAAAAGTTTATTATACATTCTTATACATTTTTCATCGGCAGTTATTGCTGATTGGATCACAGTAGAATATGATTATAATATGTGCAACCTGACCATACCTTCTGAACTGGCAGCGTTCCATCTTGACGATGATGGCGTTATTTATTCTGCGTCCCTTTTTATCAGGGATGTTCGAATTTTAAAGCATGAGCCACCCTTAACAACTGTAAACATCACCATGGGGGGATGTACCAAAGATTGTAAATTCAGCTTTATGGTGAAAATAAACAGGGATGATCTTTCAGTTTCATCGTATCCCATAAAAGACTTTAATAACTACAAATGTTATTTAAGTAATTACACGATGAACCTTATTCTGACCCCTAAAATTATATACAAGGGACCCAAACCTGACTCAAATCATGTATTCCCACCTGATCTTACTGCAAAGCATTGCAGTGAAGGTAAACACCCAGATTCACCCGGATGGCCTATTAATAAAACAGAACATGTAGCTGAATGCATCGATTATTTGACCGGTCATGAAGTTGGAACATACGCCGCATCTCTTCAGTACGGTTCAGGCAGCTCATTCAGTCCTGATGGTTATGGTGTTGCTACATATCACATGATTAATTTGGCAAACAAGCTATTCAATTATTGGGAGAGACACCATCAAGGGTTCCATGATGCCTTTGGTGACCTAAGTATCAAAATGACTCCCGATAATCTAAAAGAATTAATCCCACCGCCGTCGCCACCGCCTCAAAGTAACTTTCTCAAAGAGATTTTAATTATTGCAGCAATTGCCATTGTTTCAATTGGTTTTCCTATTGCTGGATATTATTTATTACCCATTGCCGCAGCATGGTTAGGGTTTGTGGAAACCACCACCGAAATTGCTGCTGAAATTGGTGCTGCTGAAGATGTTATAGCGGCAACAGCTGAAGATATAACAGTTGAAGCAACAGTAGTCAGAGAAACAGCGGAAAATGTTAAAGAAATACAGCTCGCAGAATGGGTTTAAGTGTGAAAAGATGCGACAGGCGAGACCGTAAAATTTGATGAAGAATTTCTTTCATCATACTATAGTATGTCAGAAACTCGGAATATAGATGAAATTATGGAAGCTTTGGGTATAAGTAGGACTATACACCAAAAGAGGGATACGAAGCTGGGTAATTATTTAGGATTTTTTAAGGCTCACTTAGTGAACGCATACTTCCTTCCGAGTTTAATAGACAATGTTCATCAATCATTTACCGGCAATAATCAAAAATATTCAGATATTTCATCTTATCTAGCAGCCGCAAGTGAAAACCTCCAATTTCATTTTCATGATACATTACACAATAATTTTTTTACTACAAACAAGTCAATATTAGCTAGTTTTACCGTAAATCAAAGGGTGAATAAAGGTAAATTATTTGAAAATAATGCAGACATATATAACTCTATTAAAAAAAGTACATATAACATGATGTCGGCAACAATAATAAGCTCTACATTAAGAAGGTTTAATGTTGAAATATGTGACCCAAAACTTTCATTTTGCAGACAATCTTGTGATTCTGGACATATTTATTGTCTAAAAGTTGGAAATGATACTAATAGCTGTGTAATAGCTGCCGTAGATAGCCAATTAAAAGAACTTAACTTTCTTCGAGATACCTCTGATATATGTTCAAATGATAAAAGTACTGGTTGAAAAATAAACCATAATTCCAATTGTAATATTAATCAATTCAAATGTCAATAATAAGATCACAAATTACTTAAACGGGAATACATTTAGTGTCGACAATTGTTAGTTTTTTTTAAAATGAATGTTGAGATTTGGTGAAGAATTTGTTATATTGTTTGCAAGCTATTGTTTATTTAAATGTTTTTAACTTTTAATATAAAAATTATTATAATTACAATAAGAAATTCATTTTAAAACATTTATATTTCTCCCTTTATCTTACATATTATAATTAAAAAAAATATATTTTTGTACTTTTTTTAAAATTAATAATAATAGTAATCAATTATCCATGACAAAACATCATCTAACTTTGACTAATGAATAAATTGTCCTAGCAATATGAAGTATTATTAAAGAAACGTCAATAAATTTTATTAATGTTGCAAGATTCATGACCATCCAGAGGCTAACTTTAATATTTAATTTAATTTCTTTATCCAGCTAATCATATTCTTCTGAAGAGATATTCAGAACCTTTCTTAATACAGATTTAATGGCAGTAAACCTAAGCTTGTGATCCTTGACAGCCTTATAGTCAAAACATTATATTTATGATAGTTATAAATGTACAACATTAAAAATGAGTAATGATTTATCACGGTTCTCGATATTCGCTGTACATTCTGCAAACTTACTTTTCAATTATTGTTCGATGCATTCAGGATTATTAAATGTGATAAACCTGGTTAAAGCTATTGGTTAAACAATTGTCTCGAATATTTCTCTCTTTTTTTTCACGCAAATAATACTTACGTATTTTAATAAAGCGAATATAAGAGACATTTATTATCTTTATGAATATCTGATAAATCTCCAATGAGTGAATAGCGTTTAGACCATTAAGGTCTGCCCTTGGTTTTTGTACAATTTCATCTAAAGGTAAAAAGAAATATGACGATAAATAGAAAATGACAAATTGATAAATGTGATCATCCTTCAGACTCATGATGTCTTCGAAAAAATTTTTTTTTTTTTAAAGCGCGAGGTAAAGTGTCAAAAATACGCAACTCAATATTAATTTTATAAATTAATTAATATCATTAACAAAATAGTTGCCAATAGATACTTACTGACGCCTTATTCCTTTCAAAGAGATAAAGTTTAGTTGGTTATGTTAAACGACAATAATAAAAGAATTTTAATAAAACACACACCCAATAGAACATTTTGCTTAAATTTGGACTTTTTTACTAAAAAAAAAAATCATATTTAGCATTTTAAGCATGACACGATGTCGTGGCTTGATTTAATGTAATTCAGTATAAGCAAATAAAAAGGGTAATCATGAAAACGAAGAGAAAATGATAAAGAAAAAATATATCAAGTTTTCTTTATAACAATATGTGATCTTATGCATAAATAGCCAAAAATTGATTTATTACTTCCAAAACCACTTCGGTAGAACAGAATTCAATGTAAAAATTTGATGAAAAATAATAAATATTTTCTTTATTTTCGTACCAGATTTTTAGTAGAAATTAGTATAAATCATATAAAAAGTATGAGTGGATCGAATAACTGCTGACATCTTGCCTTTAGGTATGAACCAGGGTAGTTAAAGCTTACTCCCACGCTTTGGGGAAATTGGGCACATAGTTGATATAGCCAACTATCACCTAGACCCCACAAAGTCGATAACTAATCCTGATCCAACATGGGAACCTTTAGCCAGAACATCTATCATAACATGGGTGGATAGGATTATCAGCATCCCATGGAATGCATATAAATCATTCATTCACCTTATTAGAAACTTGTTGTCATAACAGTATTTAATATTGCACGTTGTGGGAGTCGTACCTGAGGATAGCTGGCTAAGAAATCTCACGCACTATCCCACAACGACAATACTCATTAATTTTCTATTTTCAAAATCTTTTAAATTGTGGTCTTCGCGTAATTAAAATAATAGATTCAAATAAATTATACAATCGATTTTAAAATCGAACGCTAAAAAAAAAATATCATTGCCAAGATTTTCTTTTTTCATATATTTATTCTTATATTTTCTAGTGACTTCATTTTGAAAGTAAAGATAAGGAATTTTGTCAATTTGTTTTATTTTAATCAAATAGATAGGCAATTTTACTTTTGTTTATTAGGTCACACCTTTCGGTGAAATTTTTCATTGTCCATCAATTTTTTTTTTCTTACTAAATTTTATTTATATTTTTATTTTTTTTATTCTGCTTATTGAACCGCTTCAGTTTTTAAGTTTTATTTTTTTTTTTCAACTCTGTTTTGTGACGCGATTTTTTTATTCGCCGGTTTTAGGTATCGAATATCCTTGAACTTTTTTTTGGATTCTTCTTTGGCTTGAATCGTTCTAAAAAAGTATTAGGTAAAGCAATTTTCCTTTTTGTCTGAAGTAGAGCTGAAACTATGCATGTAGTCTGCCACACACGTGATCTACCAAATCATGTGATAAACATAATATTGATTTGTGATCGGCTAAAATTGGAAGCTCTAACGGTTCCGTTACCTAGTTTTATTATGAGACAGTTGGGTGTTGGATATTTCAAATTTTTCTATATTTAATTACATTTCTTTATTTATTTTCATTTCACTTCATTTGCTTTTACGATTCATATATTAATTATAAAAGAATTTTAAATTTATATAGGTTAATCAAGAGTAACCGAATTCCAACGCTCCAGAAAAAAAAAAAAAGAAATAGTAAATTATTTTAAAAAAAATTAATAAAAAGAAATAGAAACTTGTTCCTTCTTTTAAGAAATCTTTTTTTTAAAAAAAATTTCAATACTTTTTTTTCTCGTTCTATTCGTTGATAAATACCTTTTTTGAAAATTTCTTCAATTTGCTTTTGAGCTAGAGGGTATAATTTCAGCAAAAGAAATAAAAAGTTTTATCATAAATTTTATTAAGGAAAATATGTAGCAGTTGTTGAATCATTTAAATAAAAATAAAATAAAATAATATAAAAAATTTTGAGTTGATATTGGAATAACTGCTGACATCTTGCTCCCAAGGTCATGAACCAGGTAGTTAAAGCTTACTCCCACGCTTTGGAGAAATTAGGCACATAGGTGTGATATAGCCAACTACCCCCTAGACCCCACAAAGTTGATAACTACAACTGGATCAACACGGAAACACCCTATAGCCGGAACGATTCAACTATCCATGTATGCTGGCCATCGGCATATTACAAGGGGATTCATTCCCATGGAATGAAAATCATTCACCTTATTGAAACTTGTTGTCATAACAGCAATCCAACATATTGCACGTTGTGGGAGTCGTACCCGAGGATAGCTGGCTAGGAAATCTCACGCACTATCCCACAACGACAATACTCAATAATTATCGATTTTCAAAATCTTTTAAATTGTCGTTTTCACGTGATTAAATAACGTGTAATTTAAAATACTTTTTTTTTTACTATTTTTCAAACCAGTAATTTAAAATAAAATTTTGTTAGTGGATTTATTTTTCTTTATTTACTTTCTTAAATTTCAAATAGTGCGGGTTTTATTTTTAAATATTTTTCACACCATGGTTGCCGGTGCAATAAAAAAGCAAATATTTTAACAGTTAAGAAGATTCTTTTATGATATTAATATTACATATGATTTATTTCCTTATACTTCGATTTCTTCAAATTTCTAATGCCTTTATTTTTAATATTTTTAATCCTTATTTCATTAACTTTATGTCATTTCCACCGCATTTGCTTTTTACGATGACATATCTATTACGCTCATTAATTGCTCGAGAAATGGCAATATTATTATTTGAACTTGAAACCAAAGTTGGTGACTTTACTTTATTATGCCCATTGTTCTATGAATTGATATTAATGTAAAGGTAATATATTTATAATAAGAAAAAAAAATTGTTAAATTTAAGTTAATTTTATTCTATATTAATAGGAATGCTCTGGAGATTAATTTGATTAAGAGAAACGCTATATAAGCGAATCCATCAAGGTAAATGCAATCGATGAGAAAAAATTTTTTTTTAATAATTTGTGAAATATCTAAAGAAACATCCAAAAAGTATAATCATAAATACCGCGCCAAACTTATTAATTTTTTCCAAAAGTAATTTAATTTATATGAATATATTACTTGCTTTTTGTAGGACAACATGAAAATTGGTGTGAAAATGGAGTCTGGCGAAAAATCTAATGGTATATAACGCATCAGAGGCCTGATCTTAATCCTATATAAATAAAATACAGATCGGTCCGTCTATATTCAAGTGATATTTATCAAAGAATTGAAGAATCAACATATTCCATGCTCTTTCGAACCGGTTTTCCTGCTAAAGAGGTAACAGAATGTGAATCGAGGTTATTTAGCTCAGAAATAAGTATTATACTGTATATTGAATTGTGAAAAAAAAAATATTTACTAAAATTTACTTACCTTTTTACAGATTTCATAAACTTTGATCAAACTATAGTTACATAGCAAAAACACTGGGTTTCGAGGGTCACTGGCAAAACTATAATAAAATCTATATGCAAAACCATCGAAACTCGAAACCATAATAAAATCCTGACAAAAGACAAATGTTTTATTATTAATCGTCAAAATATAAAGCTTCGACTTTTGTCATTTGCGAATTTTCCAGGTAATTAAATATATAGATCAAATGAAGTGAGCACTAAATTATTATTTTGGTCGTTTGTTATTAAATAGCCCATTTATTTTTTATTAAAAAAAAATTAGATAAAACCTATTCAGCTCTTTGTAAGTTCCAGAATATGTTCAGGTATGTGTGTCTCTTTTTTAATTTTTTTTTTAAAACAGAAATTATCTCTTATTTATGTATGGAATCATTTATTTTAGAAATAAAAAAGTACTAAAATTATTTTATCATTTATAGGTTCTGGAAATAAATTTTTTATTTCTAATAAAAATTATCTCTTGTAGTTATTTTGTATTTATCAGATAAAAAAAAATTGAATAATTGAAGTATTGGAACATTAAGATTTGGAGGTGGATTCGGATGGAAACAATAGGAATTTATCTAGACTTTTTATTTTAGTTTTTAGAATAATAAAAATATTACTAAAATTATTTAACTTTTAATAGATCAGAGTCGCAAGTGATTACTCAATGGCCGTCCATTAACATAAACCTAATTCCAATCCAACAACAAATACATCATCGGCGAAAAAGAACTGATTTATTCCATAGGAATATTTTTTTCGAATTTTTTTAATAGACGTTCAAAACGAAAGGTAATTATATTTGTAAGCTTCTACATTTTATATTTATTACTCATTTTACGTGAAAGATAATTTCATTAACGGCTAATGATCATATCATGTATGGCTACATTGCACTTGGTAAGTGAGAAGTTAAAAAAAAAAGAATTTTAATGTTTTTCTTCTTCACATGTCAATTTTTATCCCCATGTTAATATATAACTTTTTTTTAGGATATATTGCTGAACATAGTTCTTTTATGCATCGAGCAAACCCGCTTTACAAGATCAAGAACCAATATTATCAGGTAGTTTATTTACTAATAATGGTACCAAGTGGAGGTTTGTATATCCTTTTAAAAAAAATAGGGAATATTGGCAAATTTAAACGATTTGGTGATGTTTCCAATTTCATACTTCTCTTAGAGAGCCAAATGAAGAGAATGAAGAAATCAATAATTCTGTATTTAATACTATATTAGAAGATTATCTAATTGGTGGTCCGCAATTACGCATTGCACTTGATAAATTTGCAGATCGTTATGCTGCTGCAAAAGCTAAATCTATCCCGAGGTACTTTATGATCTTTAATACCCAACAACACACGTCAAGAGTGGTTCAAAAAATCTGTGTTAAGTTGAATCCGTTAAAAGACAAAAGCGAAAGCCATCACCAACTGTCTTTGAAGATAAAGAAAATCTTGATCCTCAAATTATATCCGCCCGGAAAAAGAAGAAAACGGGTAAAAAGGACCATAATTTAAGCGCGCATATAGCAAAAAATCAGCGAATTGAAGGTATATTCATTTAATGTTCATATGTAATAATCTTTTCAATTCTATTAATTGATCTCTTTTATTTAATACAATGCGTTCTATTTGTTTGATACATTGCGTTCTATTTTATTTGATACAATGAGGATTTATTTTAATTTATTTAATTTAATTCCCTTTATTTGATTTGATTTCCTTTACTTAATTTAATTCCCTTTATTTTATTTCATTTAATTTAATTTATTGTATACATTCAAAGATTAATTAATGGTTTGGGGCAATGGAAATTTCTTTATAATACAAATTGGAAAGAATTTTTTCACATTTTATATTTTTGACGCGTTTCAAGCATTGTAAACTTCTAATTTCAAAATTTCAGAGTAAACAATAAATAATTTCTAATTTTTTTATTAAAAAAAAAAAAAAAAAAATACACAATAATTTTAAAGAAAACTGAAGAAAAAGAAAAACAAATAAAAAAATTTTTTTATTCGAAAAATTGGTTCAAACTAAAAAGACAGTCAGGTCAATTGACGATTTTAGTTGGTTGCGCCACATACTCTAAGCAATATATTCGGCATAACCTGTCGTGCTGTTAAGTCTACATATTTATAAATAAGGGACCTATGCAATAGAAAGGGGGAATGATAAATCTAAAAATGTTCAGCCTGCAGTTTCTCCTTTTTCTATTGCAAATTTTGCTGGCTGTCATTACATATATTAATTTTTATATATATGGGCAAAAAAACATTTCAAACGAACCGTCTAATACAGCTAGAACGAAAGCAACGACGGCGGCAACGATTGCAACAGCAACAACAAATACTACAACAAATACTACAACTGCTGCCGTAACAGTTGAAACAAGTAACAAGAGCTGCAACAACAACTGCCAAATATAAAATAATTTCTGGCAAATTTATCGATATAACGACCGGCGTGGAATAATGGATCCAAATTTTAGTGACCAGCGTCGAAGATTCGATCCAACTTTCAGAAAACCAATACTGGCAACCAACATCAGCCGGAACCACTACAGGAGTTGCAAGAGCAACTCCTAGAGGTTCATGAAGAACCTCCGAGTTACGAGAGAGTTATCGAGGATGATACTCGCGCGGCAGCAGTCGTCGAATATATCCTCGAGGAGGAAAGTGCGCGGAAGGCTGCGTAAGATGAGTTGGTAACGAGTGAGGGTCGCTACACGGCTGCCCTTTGGGAGACATTAGAAAGGTTTAGGTCAGAAAGTAGCTACCTTTAATTTGATTATCAGCATGTTTCCAAAATTTATTACTATCATTATAACTTTTATAATTCTTTTTTTTCGTTTTATGAAATAGGGAAGAAGATGAAGAAGAGGGAGGTAGAGAAGAGGAGAAGATGAGGACGCTAATTAAAGTATATATATTAAACTTATAATTAAAACAGTTCATCGATTCATAAATTATTAAAGCCAGCTCGTAATTTTACGAGTTTAATAAAATAAATCTTCTACTTCTATTACTTCTATGAACAAATTTAAAATACCGCTTTTAAACCTATATTCCTAATATGTAACATATTTCATGTTTAGTGATCAATTTTCAAAATTCCTTACCATTTTATTTAACATTTAATATGAAATAAAAAAAAAAGCAAAATTGTTTAGAAATAATCAAAAGACCAATTTTATTATAAAATTCCAAGTCTAAATGACCAAAACAAACAATGAATGAGCTTGTAATTACCATCGCTACCTTAAGGTAAACAAAAGTTATTTATATAATAATTCACTAATAAATTCTATGTTAACTATAATACATTATAAAATAATTAACGAATATAACTAACAATAGGTTAATTGCTGTCGACATAATTTTCGCTGAAGAATATTGCGAACCAATTCATCCAGAGCTTTCTTCTTTTTTCGTGATTATACCGTCTCAAGTATCTCAAAACCTCTCGTAACTCGAGAATTTCTGCTTCCATGAACAAAATTTCAATATTATCATCCTGAGGTCCTTTTAAAAATGCAAAATATGATATGATAATAGCAATATAATTTTTGCAAATAAACATTAGTTACCTTTGAATACCTTTCAAAAAAACTCATCAAGTTGAGTTATGTAATTTCAAAGTCTTTCACGGAAAAGTGTGAATATAAAAAAGGTGACTATATAGGGTCGAAAGGAAAATTATCAAATTTCATATACAAGAATTAATAAATTTTTAATCAGGGTTTCAAACAATTTTCTTTTAATTACCATTAATTTATATGACTCAATAATGATTTAATAAAATTGTTCAAGAGAGCAATGACAAAACTATGGGTTTCTGATTAACAAAGCATTATTAAGGTAATGATGTTATTTATGTTATTCCCTAAATCCTTCGAAAACTTTACTAAAGACATTGCTTCAAATACCATTTTTTTTAGTAAAGTTTCGAAGGATTCAATCAATCTTACAATCTAATTATGCGTTCTAAAAAAATTCAATTATATCCTTGATGATTTGTTTTTAAAAATATTACTAATAAAACAATAGTTAACTGTATATTTAATATAAATTACATTTATATCCGTAAAGTTTAGCTCTAATTTATTTTATCAATAATAAAATATTAGAGGAGAGGAAATTAGTGTTTGCTTTTTTTTATAATAAAAATATGTAATGATGATGATCTTGTTACCGTTACGAATTTTAAAATTTAACTCAATCAGGTGAGCAAAGCAATATCATGTGATTTATTTGAAACTCAGTTGAGACTTATATTAAATTAAAATTAAAAATTATGTCGGTGCTGCTATAGTATAGCGGTTATAAAGCACTGACAATTTAATTTTTTTAAATTAAATTTTAAAGTATTAAATAGAAAAGTGTTTTTTTCAAGATTGTACTATACGTCATTTTTTTTATACGCGCAATCATTCTCATTTTTTTTTTTTTTTTTTTTTAAAAAAAAATAATTTTTTTTTAGTCGGTTGGTCCCAAATACAAAATAAAAGTAAGCTTTATTAAGTATTGGTGACATAAAAAGGTTGAGAACGAGTTGTTGTTTACATTCCAGATATCAAACCATTTCTAAAGAAAACTTTTACAAATAGGGTGAGTTTTATTTAGTTTTTTACTTGCTTTTGGCGAAGCTTCGACGAAAGGTTATTCCCGTGTTCTTACGAGGTTATGTTTACATTCTAAAAATTCCAGATTACAACCTTGACCTAAAGATTTTTGCAATGAACTGTGGTGGTAGCGGGTAACGTGTGATAGGGTATGACACTGGAGAAAAGCTAACACATCCAAGGAAGGCATAGTGGTATTATCATGTAAGTATACTTACTTAGTTATCGTCGTCTTGTCATTTTAGCAGCAGGGTGGTCCGAATATTGTTAAGAGAAAGGATACCATCCAGGCCGTCAAAGCACGATAGGACTACATCGTGTCCCACAAATGAAATTACTTTCATTTAAAATCACGAGGGGGGTCTCGTTGGTGATGTGGTGGCATAGCTGTGTTTGAAGGGTGACCTTCCTATTCCCAGTTTCTTTTATATAAGACATTCTAACCGTGTTCGTCCCCTTTCCCAGATAATGTAGGAGTCGATGAAATTAACGAGGTATGTATGATGATTATCGGACTGAGAGCATACCATCTACCATCCGACGTAATACTCAAAGTCAGATGAATCCTTAAAAGATAGAGTTGAGCTTGCAGTTTAGGCGCGGTCATTTGGTGAAGTTGCATATGGGCTTCTTGGCCATAGGATGTGCGGTCATTGGTGAAATTACAGTACATATGGGCTTCTTACGTTCTAGTAGTTAACTACTTTAAGCCAAGTTAATCAAATAATATTTGCTTTCTTTTAATAAAAACTAAATTCAGTTGAATTTACTTTAACAATACATTCTAATAAAGCTACCGTAGAAGAATTTGTCGACGGTTCGAGGTCGAGTTGTATGTGGTATTAATTTTGGGGCGGGTTTCTTTGGATGAGAAGTTTGGATGGACAATTTAGGAGATAGACTATAGATGTAAAGCAACAAAATTTGAATTTCTTTATGTTCCTAGAATTTATTATTTTGATTTTGACTCTTATTAATATATATATATATAATTTTATTTTTTTATTTATTTCAATATAATAAATTTTTGTTTTATAAGCTGAAAATTAATAAAATTAGTACAGTTAAGATAACTTGAACGCAGTATATTAATAAATTAATTTCGCTATAATTTTTTACAAAATCAACTTTAAGTTCCCAGGATGTTTATGAGCTTTGGCAAGTAATTAAATCAATTGGATGGAATTGATTTGGTTATCACAAATTCTTTCCCCTCCCATTGCAATATACTGTAATTCTTTTTATTGTAAGGAAAAAGTTTTTGACGGCACTAAATCAGGATTAATTAAAATTAATTTATTTTACTGCCGCGACGATTTTTTTAAAAAAAAATTCACGTGTGCCGAAATTCATGTATCAAAAAGTTTTTCAGATGACACGTAATGATTTGTTCTAAAATCTTTCAGTAATAGATGACAAATATTCTGTTGATATATGTTAAATTAATATCTAATATATCGATTGTTGACTCGATGCTGGTTTTTCTTACTGCTTACGGTAATTGTACCAAATTTTTCGATCATTTGGAAGGTTGACAATATGTAAGTTTGTTTAAATTTTCGCACGCGATCAACACATATCAACAGAGCTCCACCTGAGAACATTCTCTCTTTACTTTTTCGCTCATAAGAAACTAACCAAAAAACAGTTCTGCCAAATACTATTTCGCTAATTTTTGCTTAAAAGAAACGTAAAGTTAGGTTTAAAAATCTTTATTGTTTATTTTTTCTTTTAAGAATAACTTTTACATAATTAATTTATTAAAAAAAAACCTTGACTACAGAAACGAAAGACTTTTCCAATAACGCTACGCTTCTTACGAACAAAACGGAATTTCTTCGATAACGCTTAATGCTACGACAACGAAACGAAGGACTTTCGCGTTAAGATACAAAATTCAAGATTGATGTGAGAAAAGTCTATTTCTGTTATATGGGCAATATCCTAAAAAAAATCCAGAAGTGGTCCATTGGTTCTGGCTGATTTTCCTTAGGGAGTAGTTAACCGCTGGGTATTACTCAAACCCAACCCTTTATTTTATTTTATTTAAACATAGAAACGGACGATTCCGATCACATTAACGCTACGACAATGAAACGAAGGACTTTTCGCGTCAAGATTCAAAATTTAAGGTAAATGCCAGAAAAGTCCATTTTCTGATACGGGTAGAACTGATAATGGGAAAGTGTTATGTAGGTAATATCCTAAAAAATTCAGAGACGATTCTGAATATTTTCCGATCACGCTTATGCTAACGCTACTTACAAACGAAACGACGATAACGTTACGTTACTTTAGAATTAATTAGATAGCTTTTACAAAAACGTGTTACCGAAAAAAAAAAACCAAAGTTTTTTTTAAAATTTATTTTTATTGTATTGTAAAAAAAATTTTTGATCAATCGGTAACTAGATTACGTTTAATATAAATTTTTTTAATTCAATAATTTATTAAAGTTAATTGAAAATTTTAAAATTGATGCAATAATGTTTAACTTAATATTTCAATAAAATAAAAACTTTACCTCCGTTTCAAATATGTTTTTAGCATTTACTAATGCCGCAGTAACTGCGGAATATAATTAGTAATTGTTCCTTTAAGAATTTAAATAAATTACATTACAAGTTTCGATACATATTATTACAAACTAAGTTCAATAAATTTTTGAATGGAAATATCAATATTTGTTATAAATTACACTTTATAAGAAACTCGACTTATGTAACTATTGATTTATATTTCAGTAATTTTGATAATGTTAATACAATCGTGAATCAAAGTAGTAAAATTTATCATTTCAAGATTTTAAGCAATCTTTATAATTAATTTATTTTGATAGACAATCTGCTTTACATGTAGTCACAAGGCTATTTTTTGATCGTCTATTTCAACTTCCAATTTTATAGCCGCAAAAAAAAAAAATTTTAATTTTATAAATTCTAGTAAATAAATTAGGATTAATCTAATTGTAACGATATTGTTA